ATATATATAGATATGGCTATTTTTGCTCAAAAAAGTATATCCAGATATATTATTCTGAAATTATACAGTTATATACTGGATAAAATTATGCAAAGTGTGCTGTTAAATGTCTGAGTTCTTTCAGAGGAGCTTGTACTGAGTGAAGAAATCATGTTTCTCGGGTGTGTTTTGGTAGAGCTGCCTTGATAGATTTCAGACTGACAGGTTCCACATCCACTTAATAACATGCAAGCAAGGGTACAAATTTATCATCGCTGCTAATTGCAAGTCTGTTGTTTTTATACTGCCATCTAGGACTCAGCCCCAGCTGGAGACCTGCTCTGTTTGGCACTGTGGAGGAGCCACAGTGATAAAGGATATTCTGCTCCTTAGAAGCTTGATAAGGGATATTTTGCTGCTTGATAAAGGATATTTTGCTCCTTAAAAGCTTGTCACGTACATACAAAAGCAAGAAGTGAACAGGCTTCTTTTACCTGTTGATCACTGAGGCTGCAATTAGAACTGACATCTCATAGGAACATGTTGGAATAGGGATCAGTTGGTCTACTTTTGGGCCTTTGGGTTGTGCTGTCCCATGAGTGGAGGGAACTTCATTGTTGTGTAAGGGAATGCAAGGTCTTACCTATATTGCCTTGCAGCAGGGCTGAGCTAGCATGATAAGAATATATTGCTTAGAAGTAATTAATCAGGTGGAACGTATCTTCTAAATAATAGATTTTAGCTCTGTGTAAAGATCACAACTTTCATGTCAATATTCAAAATAATTTGGTTTAACACAGCTGTGTCTCAGTTTTCTTTCCTTTTCACACTGTGTTTATACTTTTTACTCATATTTGGAAGAGTTCATATTGCTTCCTGTGTGTGGAAGGAAAAGCACACAGAACAAGGAAAGATTTTTGGATGTGTTGAGGCTACAGCTATGTTAAGAGCTTTGTTTGATGCTTGGGGCAAATGACAGGGTAGTAGTATTTTTTAATTAAGTTTGTTGTAGTTGGCTTTATTATTTTAGTGCATTTATCAAGCGTTACTCTTTTGTTTGGGGATATATATATAATTTATTAATATGATTTTTTTTCCAATCTCATCTAGGTTATTCTGAGTAATTCCAAAAATACTCTTCAACATGCCTGAAAACCCTGCAGCAGGTATGTAGCCTGAAAGTGATTCCTTTTGTTGAGCAGTGAAGCTCCATTCCTAACCTGGACTCCTTTGTGGTGCAGATAAGCAGCAGGTGCTGCAGATCCTGGATCGTCTGCAAGCCAAACTGCATGAGAAAAGGGATTCCCAACATCATGAAAACCTGACTGTTCTAAGGAACACCCTCAGGAGCCCCTTGTTTAACCAGATACTGACTCTCCAGCAATCCATCAAGCAGCTGAAGGAACAAGTGAGTGTAAAATTACAGTTGTTGGTGTGATGGTAACTGGTGAATGTGGAGCTTCAAACAGGTTGTGTGGGCGTGTGATAACAAGGGAACTGTTGTTAATAAGCTGTAACATGGTGTGAGTGAATGCTGGGGTTGTTTTTTTCTTTTGTGAAGCTGGTATCTGCAGAATCACTGCTGAAATGAGGAGTGGATTTGCAACAAACAGGTCATGGGGCAACATGCTTTAAAAGGGCTGTAGGAGAGGGTGGCGCTGAGAGCATCGGAGAAGAGCATCTGCACAAGACATCAGCTCCAGTACTTTGAGTTCTGAACACAGTTGGAACTGGGTTCCTTTGTTTTTCACAGAGATAAATACTGTTTATCAGCTCACTGGCAGCATCTTCTCTCCTTAAGGGACATCATCACTTAGTTCCTGTTAATTTGGATGAGGATGGTTAAACTGCTTTGGGAAAGAAAGTCTATAAAACCCCTCCTGAAGATTTGCCAGGCTCTGATGCAGACATACCTGAGCTAGCTTGAAAAATACTTGACTTCAGCAGTGCTCAGTACTCAGATGGATTGGTTTATCGTGCCACACTTAGATTTTGTGGGCATGGGCATCCATGACACACCTGTGTTAACAGGTTTCACCCTGCAAGTAACTTAAAGTCAGCAGCAAACTACAAATCATGGACTAATCAGCAGCAATCCCTGTTTCTGTTGCTGCTGCACTTTCCCAGCTGCAGATGCAATGTGGTGGGTGTCATAGGGACAAGGCCATCTTGCTGTCATTGCCAAATATATTGTACCTGTTCCTGCCTGGGTGGCATGGAGGTGGCTGTGCCATTCATTCTCTCTTCTTCCCACATTCACATGGGTGCTTGCATCAGTTCCTTCCTTCCAAAGCTTGGATGCATGTCTGCAAGCTATTAGAAAATGCATGAAAGTGCAACTAGATCTAAGATGTGACTGTGGCACAGTGGATTTTATATTCAGAATGTTCAGAATTCTCATATATAGAAAATTGTGGTTTTCTTGAACTGCTATTTAAGCATGGCAGTTTCATTCAGGATGGGATTTTCCAGCTTATTATGTCACACTGGGAATATTTCTGCATTTCTTCATTATCAGTCAGGACTAGAACTGCAAGTTCTAGCAGTGATACCATGTTCAGGGGTAGTTTGTACCCTAGGCTCTCTCTAGGGAGGACATAGTACAGACCAGGCCTTGAGCTCCTGAGTGGCTCTTAAAATATTTGGATTTCTGTGCCAAAATTATCTCTAGGTTTGCCTGACAGTTTCCACAGTGCTTGAGTGCTTCTTTTAATGTTTGGTGCTTTTGCATGTGTTGTTTCTGGACTATCAGGGTGAAAAGAGGATAATGGGCACAAGCAGGGAAGAAACATGACAGAAACAGAGGAAAGTGAGTGGAGTAGAAACACAGCTGAAACATTCAGGGAACTTTCCTTCTGAAAAACAGTTTAAACCTGACATGGTAGCTTGGTTATAGCTTACATATTAACATTGCCTGATTTATATACATGAGTATATTTGTGTGGATAGGCATATATGAACATGCTCTTTGGCAGTCTGCACACAAAATGGTGTTATGTGGAAATCCCTTTTGTTTTTAATAGCTTTCCCACGTCTTTGTCGGTTTTCAACAGCTCAATTATATGCCTCCTGACCGTTCAGTGGAGTTTGATTTTACTAAGAGGGGGCTGCTAGTGTTTGCTGAAAAATCAGCCACTGCTGGGAGTGTGTATCCACCTTGCAGTCCACCTGGACACAAAGCATCTACCTTCACTCCAAACCTGGGAGTTAATGAATTTAACATGATCATCCAACAAATGGCGAAGGTAAGGCTCTCAGGTTTAGTGAGCCAAACTTATTTTCCTTTTGAAGTGCATTTTCACAGTGCTTTTTTTGTTGTGTGGCTGGGAGCATGGTGCCTCCTAACCTAGCTTTTCCCTGTGTAAGATAATGTCAGCAGTAGAAAGTGGTTTGGTGGCTTGTTTAGGTTTTTTTGTGGGTTTTTTGGTTTTGGTTTTTTCCTTTCCTTGCCAATTTTGGTCTTATTTTCTACCAAATGCACCAAGGCAGAAGGGAAATTCCAATTTCCAGAAAACACTTTTTGGTATTTGATGGTACTTTACTGAAAATGGACATTTTAAGCAGAAACTCCTTTTGATGGAGACACTTGTTTTCTCAAGTACATCTTAAACTGGAAGCGTACCCACTTTGTTAATATATGAACAGTGCAAATGATTAAAAGAACTGGCATTAATGTTTTATTTAACTCTTCATTTAGTATGTCTTAACTGCCAGACAGATGCAGATTTCATTAACATGTGATGCAGCATGTACCAGATGCTTATGGAATTTGTACAGGTGCAGACATCAACCCATGTGGGATTGGCATTTACACCACCAATGTATTGTTCTCTGTTAGTTTGAACCATTAATTTAATTGGTTAGTTCTGCCTTTCTGTATTAAGTAACTGTTGCTAATTGACTACCTTAATGTAGCTGTAATATTTTCAGCATAACTCTTCTCATTAGCGTGTCATTAACTCATCAGATAAAACATTTAGCAGTAAAGGCTGTATATTATTTTGAATAAAACAGCTGTGGTAGCAGTGCATTCTCTGAGTAATATTCCCCCGTAAACAACCCCGGAAATCTTGTATGGGAGCTGAAAAACACTTGCAAAAGCAAACTTGTTTTTTAGCATTAAGTGTGAAGTTGCAGGGAGGGGAAGGAAATTAATTTCTCTATTTAAAAACTGCAATCTTTTGAACATGCACCTAAAAATCAGCATTAAGAGCAAGGGGAGCCAAAAGACAAGTAATTTAGCTTAGCTATACAGCATTTCCAGAAATCCCAAATATATTGCTCTAGACAGCACTTTGTTCATAGTTTTCATCCACTTTGGAATTCATCTCATAATGTGAATGAAGTGTGAAAGCAGCTCTTAAATTCCCTGAGGTTTCAGAACCTCACAGTGTTTGCATATCCAATACTTTGCTATATTAAAAATAATAAATGGAGGAGCTTTTATAGAAATAACATATTCAGTGTTTTGCCTTTGTTTCGTCTTAGGAGGAGAATAATTCTCCCAGTGTTCATAAATTTTTAGCTCTTTCTGTTGCATTAAAAATAAGTAAATCACGGGTTTTTCATCTTTTATTAGGGAAGACAAATAGAATCAATAAAGATTGATAAACCTTCTGTTGGAGGTCTTGGATTTAGTGTGGTTGCCCTTAAAAATCCCACCTTGGGAGAAGTTGGTATCTTTGTCAAAGAAGTCCAGCCAGGAAGCATAGCTGACAGGTGAGATCTTTATAATTGTGTTTGGAAAACTGGATTTTCCATGAAGGGAAAAGTCACGACCTTCATGCTGAAAACTCCAGCAGAATAACATGTTTGTCTGGGTTATCTGGTTGGGATATTTTGGTGGTGGTATCTCAAATTCTGCCTTTTCAACTAAAGGGACTCATGTTTTGAGGATCAGATTTTTCAGATGAGTTTTAAATATCCAAGCCAGTCACAAATGGCATTTCCAGAAATCATGACTCACTTGAGAGAATCTTCAGCACTGATTAAAAAAGCAAAAGAAAACTCAGGAAAGAATAGAAGGAAAATAAAAATTAGCCTCCATTTGAATTTTTATGCACTGTATCCCTGAAAGACGTGTGGGGGTTTTCTTGCCCGTGTTACTTTATTTATGTGCCTCTGACAATGCCCTATTTATAGCTGGTTTTACTGTTGGTTTCCTGTGTAAATTTAGATCCACTCCTCCTGACAGATCCCTGCACAGATGTCATCACAGAATCGAGGCTTCAGGCAGTTTCTCCCTGTATTGTCTGTGGGTTTTCACCCAACAACAAAAGACAGAGCAAGACAGAGCAATCCTTTAAAAATAAAAATGCGATTGTAAAACCACAAGAGTTGGCATGAGACAAATGCAGTGCTTGGAATTATGTTTCAAGAAAATGTGTCTAGATTTCAAGTCATTGGTGTCACTTTTTAAATAACACATGTCAGGAAGTGCCAACACAGGATGACAAAAAGAGTGGGGAGAGGTTGGAATGATAATGGCTATGGGCCCACAGAGAACACACCAGAGAACACTTAAAGAAAAGCATATTAGGCTCTTTCAAAGTGGAGACAGATGGACTGATCCGGATGTCAAAGGAGGGTGAATATCTCACTTTAGGATTTGATGACCTGCTGCTCACTTTCTTTGATGAGAGAATCTAAAATATGGTTAGTGCTCGAAGAAAGTGATTTCTGGGAAACATCTTAAACATGGCATGATAAAAAGGAAGTTTAAAATGCCTTAGTTAAGATGTGCAGCTATATTGTTTGGGAGTTTATAAGTTTCCCCAGCATGCTTCCCATTTTGCTTCTGAGACAAGATCTCCTGGAGACTTTTTTGGATTCCTACAGAGCTTTGAAGGCAGTGTCTGTCTATGTAACAGTTTGGTCTCGTGCTCAGAATGAATATTTAACAAAGGAGATGAGTGATGGTTTCTCTCTTGTCACAAATCTAAATTCATCACTGGGGTGAATTAACTGTGAAATTCATATTATCTCAAGGTAGGAAGTGAACTGTGTGTTGCTCAAAGAAAGTTTCATGTCTGAAGCTTGATAGTATAAATTTGGAGTAAAATATAAATACTCAGCTCATTCATCTTTACATTAAATAATGATGCAAAACAATATCATGGCCCAAATTTGTGGGTACATAGAGATCATGTAGTGCCAAACATAATGAAGAATAGTTTCTAGTTTATTGTGTAACTACAAAAACAATTTTTTCTGCTTTGTAGTTCAATATCCTCAAGAAAGGGAATTTCAATTAAATTCTGAATGGAGGCAAAGTAAAAAATTGAGCAGATTTCTGAGCTGGAACAAAAGGTGGCTGTGCAGTTCAGCACAGTGTGGATTGCTTGTAGTTTGTAAGTTGGGGAAAACAGCCTAATAAGCAGATTTTAAAAATATATAGACATTTAACCTTGCCCAACTGTGTGTTTTGCATGTTCATGTTTAAATTACATGAGCCTGTTGTGAAGCCACTATGCTGCATCTTAAACTTTCTTTCAATGTTTTGTTAAGGGATCAAAGGCTGAAGGAAAATGACCACATACTGGCCATTAATTGCACCCCATTGGATCAGAACATTTCCCATCAGCACGCCATAGCCCTCCTCCAGCAATCCACAGGGTCCCTGCATCTGGTTGTGGCCAGGGAGCCAGTTCAAGGAAACAGCAGAACTTCATCTGTCATATTAAGTGATGTAAATCCACCTGAGACTGTGAGTTGTAATGCTGTCAAAATCACATTTTGATCTATGCTGGATATTTTCTTCATGGCTCTGAGTGTTTGTGTTAGCAAGGTTTACATTTAGGGATTTTTTCTTTACTCAGATTTTGTATGTGATGACATTTCATTTAGGCTCATCCTGCAGTAAGTATAAGGCTTCCATTGCAAAGCTGCATGGAGTTGTTATAAAATAGATCCTGGGTTTTTATGGGATAGCAGAAGCTTTAGTAGATCAACATATTCCTAGCAGCAGGGGCTGTTGAGCATAGGCTGGGTAAAGCATTTTATGAGTATACCCAGCTGAAACCTACTTGTGCTCAGCAATTAAAGATGCTCTGATTACATCTTAAAAGAGAGTAAACATAACCTGTCAGGAACACTGCTTGAAGTATCCCAACCAATTTCAACTTACACTGCTCAAACCAAAAAAGCCTTGTCTTTGTTTTAAAAAAGCAAGCAAAAAACACCTGTTAAAGAACATCTCAATCTCTGTTTATTTATCAATTTGGGGGTTTTTTTGATCTGCAAATTTCATTGATTGTGAACCCTTTTGTGACAAAAGAGACCTTGTCACTGAGACATCTAATAAGCTAGGGCTAAACTTCCACCTGTGTCCAACCCCTGTGGTCCAGGTGGCTTCACTGGATTTGGTCAAACTGCACACCAAAATCCAGGGTTTGTAATATCAGAAGCTTAATTTATTGTGCTCTTAGATTTTGTTGAAAACCTGGTTAAGAGCAGTGCTTTCCCTTATTCTCAGTAATTATTTCCCTCATGATTATTACAGAGGTAGTGAAATCTGAAGGTTTTAGTGGATAATCAATATTGTTTATTGCACTGAAAATTTTAAAGAATTAAACTTTAACTGCTTGTTCTTTGAAAGATCTGCACTGAACAGACTAACAAAATAAAATACAAATATATATCTCTACAGGGGGTCCTTAAACTTCTTTTATGATATTTAACTGGCTTTGGCAAAGATTTTCAGTATGCTAATAAATCCTTTATTCACAGAAGACTTAAATCTGCCTACTTTGCTCCATTTTGGTTTCTGTGAGATATTAATCTGACAGAAACATTGGCTGGGTTTGGGTTGCTTAACAGCTTTGTTATTTTCAGATTGTCTTGTAGAACATAAGGTCATGGTACAGTGTAGCTTAGAAATTTGCTTCCAATTCAGTATGGCAGAATATTGCACTGTGCTATTAATTCAGTCCTGGTGGTGTTCAGAGTAAGTGAAATAACAGGAGTAAGAATTTGGGCAGTGCTAAGTGAAAACTAGGCCAGTGCAAGCTCCTTGCCTCTGTTTTTCCTCTCTCATTTGCAGTGTTCTTGATTTATGAAGAACTTTAAGGGTAGTTTTCATTTTGGCAAGAAAACCTTCAAATTGGTTTTTCTTAGTCAAGCTCTTTCCTAGTATCCTGTTATCCTGAAAGTGAAGGACAAAATGTGTGTTTAAAAACAGATGAGAAATCCCACTGTGTGTTTACAGGGAAGTGGAGCTGAGTGAACAAAATCCCACAGATCTCCAGTACATGGGGGAGAGGCAGAAAATGGCTCTGATTAATCCTCGTCATTCCTGCGACACGTGAGAGTGAGAAACATTAATGATGGGCTGAAATTAACATCTCCTGGTTTTATTAATTGCAGATTCACTGGGGCCACATTGAAGACGTTGAGCTGATTAACGATGGTTCGGGACTAGGCTTTGGAATTGTAGGAGGAAAGTCGAGTGGAGTAGTTGTAAGAACAATTGTTCCTGGAGGATTAGCAGATCGGGTAATTTGTTATATTATGTCACTTCTTGTTTGATTGTAAAGTATAATTAACTGGTTTTGACAGTCTTAAAATAAACTAATACACTGAGACAAAAGGAAGCTTGATAGCATCAAAGCCTGAATGCCAACATATACTTCATAAATAAGTGAAGGTATGATTGAGGGAAAAGTCAGCACCTGATATGAATTAAGTTGTTTCTCAGACATGCTTTGGCTGTTTTAACATGGTTGAACATGCAGAAGTTCTGAAAAGTTGCCTGATGTTTGTAATACTTTTGAGATCTTCAGTCTGAGGGAGAACAAATACTCTGCAGAATTTGGCATTTGGCAACATCTGTAAGTACAAACTCTCCAACTGAATTGTCAGGCAAGAGGATCTGCCTGTTGAAGTCATTGCATTGCCAAGTTCAGTTTAGAAGTTGATAATGTCCTGTTTTTAGTGGGTTTCATTTTGAAGGGGTTTTGATCCCTGCCTGGCAGTCTGACCAGTTCAAGGGGACACTCAGGTTTGATGCAAAACCTTTTGAAGGTCCTGATACCTTTTGCAGTTGCATAGGTACAGTTTGCAGCCTCTGATTGCTCATCTTTAAAGCCTCATTGCTAAGTGTTTCTACATTTCAGGAGTAGAACACATGCAATGGCAAACCAGATTTGGACTTTTAAAGTGTATTTAGTTATGACAAGTTACTATTTGAGGACTGGAATCCATAGAGACAAAAGAGAGAGGCTAAGGTGCTTCCTCTAGTACAGGATGGAAATGAAGATTGGAAATTCAGACAGCTTTCCTGGAAAGTGTTGGCTTTTGCTTGACTGTCTCCCTCTGAACCTGCAGTGTATAAATGAGTATTTTCTTAATTATTGTCTAACACCTGTTTTGCTGTAAGGAAGAAAGTGTTTTGGCTACAAATGAATCATGTAAGTTAAGAACTCACCGCATCGTTCTTGTCATTAAGAACATGTGGAATAATGAGTGCATATACATGTTGAAGTTGGATGAGTTTGTAAGTGAGTTTGAGTTGGTTCTGGGAATAAGTCTGCTCTGATTGCTGTATAAATCAATGCACCAAAGGTGGTGGAGCTGTGCTGATCAATACCAGCTGAGGACTTGGTCCTAGGAATGTTTGCTTATAAGAGAAACGATGATGTAGGTCATGAATCATAATTATCAGGTATAAAATGGGCTGTGTGGAGTCTTTGGATTTACTCACTCAAGTTGGAGCAAGTCATATGAGAGAAGAATGTAGAGGTATTAGGGAAAAACTCTGAAAAATCCTAAATTATAATGCTGTGCTTTTATTCTAACTCTATCCTGTGAGGAGTGTTCCATGAAACAGCAATACACAGCAGTCTTTGAAATTGCAAAATGTTGTTGCTGTTTGTTTTCTCCTGAATGAGCAAAACAGTGGAAAAACCAGTGCACAGTTGTGTAAAAGAGTCCTTGAATGATTTAGTATGTTGCCATGGTGGTCAGTTCTCTGGTATTTTCTCACACTGATTCTTGTGGCCATGAAGATGCCCGTACATGGTTTCAGTTGTGCAATGGAACAGATATTTCATGTGGAGACTGGAAACATTTTCTCCATTTTTATTTGTATTTGAAGGATGGGAGGCTCAGGACAGGAGATCACATTTTGCAGATTGGAGGGACCAATGTGCAAGGAATGACCAGCGAGCAAGTTGCCCAAGTGCTGAGAAACTGTGGGAATTCTGTTAGGATGATCGTTGCAAGAGACCCAAAGTGTGAAGTCATGGAGACTCCGCCAGCTCCTGTGAGCTGGCCAGTCAGCACATTACCTTCCCTTCAAAATGGAAATGTAAGTATCTGCTGTTTCCTTAGAACATTTTTAAGTGTGTTTGTGGCTCGTGATCAGAAAGGAAGGAGAGAACAGTGTGTTCTTGAGACCTAAAGTGCTTCTCCTCTCTTGAGTTTCCAGAGATCATATGCTTGCATTTAAGTGGTCATTATTACAGCCCTGCCTTCTATAATTTTTTCCCTTTTCCTGTATGTTATTAATACCTATAATCTTGGGATCAGAATGACCAGCTTTACAGAATTTATTTCAGAGTGGGTAATTTAATTACCAAGACCATAAACATTATCGATAAGTGGTACTCTCAGTTCCCCTCCTTAGCTCATTACACTTTTGCTAATCAATCACTCATAAGTGGATTTAAAACTGGACTGTGAATTTCCCTACTCTGAAATCCAGAGCTCCATGGCCACACCAGAATTATTCAGCACAATTCAGTTATGAAACATAAGTGTAATGTTTTCATACTCTGCACTACTGTCTGTGATAGGAAATATATCTAAGAATTTTGAAACTTGTTTTAGCAAATCTTATCATGGTCATATCAAAGTCTCTTGTTTTTGAAGTCATTCTTTTCAGTTTTGAGTAATTAAAATCAACAAATGCTACACTAAGTGTACAGTAGGTCTCGAAACATAAACAAAGCTGTGCTTGTGTACCATCTGCTGCTACTGTGCTGCTTAGATTTAGGTGTAGAATCTGAGTAGCCTTTTCTTTCTTGTCTAGTTTCTTGAATTTGAGCGAAAAGAGCTAATTTTTTTTGGAAGCACCATTTTCAAAGGTGAGATTAGCAGTCATGTTATTGCAAACCCACCTTCCTGCTTACTGAGCACAGTCACTGCAAGGCAGCCAGTGGCTTTGTGTCTGGCATCTCCGCAAAACTCCTGTGGCTGAAGCTGTCAGTAGAGTACTTTGAGTCCTTCTCAAGCTCCTCCCAAGATGATCTGTGTACATAAGGCGAAGTCTTAAAGGTGGATTTGTCTACCACTCTGACAAAAGACTTTCCTAAACAATCAGCATTATTCTGAAACACTTCTTTGCTTACTGGATCATGCTTCCCAAGGCCCATATTAGGGAAAAAATAACACGGGCCTAGCTTTGTTTCCCCTACAGACTACTATTTCTCTCTGTTCCTGTCATCACTAATTGACCCTAAGCATTGTAGATGCTGCTTCCTTTCCAAAATGCTATTCCTTCTGGATGTCCTTCCAGTGTCCTCCTTATTCCTGCTATGTAGTTTAGAGAGGAAAAAATCATTTTGCAGTTTTATTTACTTTGTTTTACTTCTGCCAGTTGATCTGTTGTTTTTTGAACTAAATAGTGACTTCATAGGTAAATTTGAAGAAACTCCTCTTTCTGTTGCTAGGATTGATTTGCTGAAGACAAGATTAGTGGCTAATCTGAATGTATTTATTACTTCAATGATGATTTCAATGATCTACTTTTCAGTTTGTGTCTGATTTATGACAGAACTTCCTGTAATCTAATTTCTCTCTAGTTTCTGAGTACTTTCACTATCTGTTGGCTTTGGAATACAAAATATTTTCCTTTTTTTTTTTTTTTTGCAAACCAGCAGAAAGGCATTTTTAATAGATGGTTAGTTATTTAGAAGTTTATATCAATATTTGATTTTCTTTATATTTCCTGTCGTAGAGAATAACTGAAACTACTTATGTCTGTACCTGGGCACAAGGAAACAGTGACATTATCTATACTCTCCAAGATACTGACAGAAATGTTATCAGCCTACTTGTACTGACTGTATTTAGGACTTTGTACTTTGATTCTTTTTCCAGAGTCCATTTTGAATGTTTTGCATTCTACCAGGTATATTAGTTACAGAAAATGTGTGTAGCCAGAGCACTGACTGTGAGGAGCCTTTGTCAAAACAGCTGGACTCTCAAGGCCACAGCTCCATTTCAGATGGTGCTGTGGACTTGTTTTCTATAGATAAGTGACAGCATCAAAACTTATCTTCATCTCCATCAGCCTCTTATGGAGCAAGGGAGTTGGAAGGCATTTAATGAGCTTAATGACTTTGCTAGTGGAGGGAGGTGTGTGTGATAACGAGATAGCTGTCCATCGATTTCTCTTCCATTGAAAACTGGGGTAGGTATGGCTGTGTCTCTGGCCTGCTTTTAATATGGGTCCTTCCAGAGCTGATACTTGGCAAGCATTTGATTAAACTTCTCCTTTTTCACTCCCTTAAGAAATGTTTTCCAATTTCCCAGTCCATTTTTTGCTGTTGGCAGTGACAATATCCCTCTTGATTTCATCGTTTTAACAGACCTTACTCTCATCATCTTCTTTTTGATCTCGTTGGGCTGTATCTGATTACTGAAAACAAACAACTCTATGTATTTTAATTTATACCTTGCAATCCCAGATTTATGTGCTTGATTGTTTTTCTCTCTGGTCTCTCTGGGATCTTTACTGTTCCCTGTTTGAGCTCTGTCTTGCAGTTTTGATTTCTGCTGGTCAGAGGAGAGTTTCGCAGACATCCTGATGCCAGTTTTGTAGGGACTTTACAAATGAATTTTCAGTGCATTTACAAATGAATATTCTCCCTTCCTGTGTTAGGTCTTAAAAATAATTCTATTTGAATGCAAACTGATGACTCTTTTGCTTCCTATTGCCTTGGACAACCTGGAGTCTTGCAGTGCTCCTTGCAGTTTGCCAGTGTTCAAATCTGAACAGGGTCATAGCAAACTTGTTAAGCTGATGTGTGTGAGACTGACTTCTGGAATGTTTTTGTGGTTCAGGATCTAATGTAAAAGCAATAATAAGCTCAAGCACCTACCTAGTCTCCCAGATTTGCATTTAAGTAGACAACTGCTTCTGTAGTAGAGATGTGTCTGCTGTGTGGTTTGTTTCATTTCAGGGCATTGAACCTGTCTCTGAGATCCCTTTCCTGCTGGTCCTCACTTCCTTAGTAGGTGATGACAAGGAGAGATTACTTTTTCTAACAAAATCACAGAGTGGTTTGGGTTGGAAGGCACCTTAAAGGTCATCTAATTCCAGCTCCCTGCCATGGGCAGGGACACCTTCCACTAGACCAGATTGCTCAGAGCTCCATCCAACCTGTCCTTGATCACCTCCAGGGATGGGTGTGATGTGATAACACTCTGTATTTATACCAGATATTTTGCTTCTTAAATATCCAATAGAAAGAGCTGTGGCAAGTGGATTCATTACACTGTTTATCAGGACTCACATATGAAAAGGAGAGAAGAAATTTTGAGGGCATTCAGGGTTTTCATTGTCTTGAGGGATTGACTGGGAAGTTAGTTGTTACCAAGCAGCAGTGGAATCCGAAGGCAAAGGGCCTCTGAATAGTCTAATGAAAACTGTTGTTTCCCGTAAAATATGAATATTATACCTCTGACAGGTATGTGGAGAAAGTGTTAGGAAAGAACTTAAAAAGCAGCTAATGACGTTAGGGGACACTTTATTGTCAACAAAACTTGTGTGTCTCTGTTGCAAATATGATCCCTCCTAAAACAGGAAAAAAAATCACTGCTCACTCCTGAAGATCTTAATTAATCTGCAATACTGTAATGGTACTGGGGAATTATGAATTGTTTTTTACTGTCTTATGCTTTATTTATAGGATAATACCAACCTTTTTGATACCTATGACGTTGAACTTATAAAAAAGAATGGGCAAAGCCTGGGGATAACAATTGTTGGATATGCTGGTACATGTGATGTAGGTGAGTTCTACAGGGTTTAGTAGGGTCTACGACAAGAACTTCTCAGATATCCATTATTGACCATGGGGAAAACGGATAGCTCCTACCTGTTCTAGGATATGGGGACATGGAATCAGGTTTTTCTTTTCCCCTCAATCCTCTTTAAATTAGAGCTGTTAACTTGTCTTTCAGATATTGTTTGCACAAATGATAATGGATATCAGGTTTTATACATAGGGGGTAATGCTTTTTGCCCCCTTCCCTTCCTGTGGGACTCAAAAGTATTCTGGGAATGTGGTGCAGCTGGTGTTGCTCTCCAACCATCCTTGTTCCCAGGAGATCCTCCTGTTGCCTTGCCAGTCAGGAATCCAAGGCCAGTGCAGTGAGCATTGGGAACTGGGCTGGGGGAGGAGCATGTGTCAGGCAGTGGGAAGAGTTGTGTTTGGAGCACAGGTGGAGGAGTTTTGCTGAGCATGGACCAACCATGTTGGCCAGGTGTCTGAGGAAGGTCAGTGTTCAGAAAATGAGGGATGAAGTGTCAAGATTCAGTAGAATTAAACATCAGCATCTCGTATTTAGCAGGAGTTTGTGGAAGGGAAGGTTAATATTTCAGCTGATGTTTTGGGTTTTCACTGGATTTTTTGTTTTGTTTTTATTTCCTTGTTCTAATTAGAAGTAAGAATAATGAAATGTCAAACGTGACAAAACCCAGCTTTGCTGATTTCCATGTCTCTTTTCTTTTTTTAAAGAAAAATCCTTTTTCATTAAGATTTAAAGTACTAAATTCTTTAGCTGTAAGATGATTGAAGTCCTGATCAAAGTCCTTAAGCACATACTTTACTTTTAGCTTAGTTAGTCCTATTGAAATCAAATGCAGCATGGATTTAAGTGATTGTGGTTTAAAGCCTGGGTAAGCACAAGGATGAATCCATGGAGGAGGTGGCCTTTTGTGAGGCATTTTAAGGGAAAAATTTGAGGTCAGTGTACAGGTGGTTGTGTCAGTGCTGGTTTTTCCACTACAGTTGTTTGGTGCCATGTTGTGTGAGTGGTAATGTGCATGAGTTGGTGGTTGGAATTATCACTTTATGGACAGAAGGAAGGGTGTGAAAAAGGCTGTAATTAAAAAGCCTAATAAGAAAAGAAACAAATTAGGTTAATGCAGTGACTTGTTTCTCTTCCCCCCAGCAGAACCTTCAGGGATTTTTGTGAAAAACATCATACCTGGTAGTGCTGCTGACCACAATGGCCAAATTCATGTTCATGACAAAATTGTTGCTGTAAGTAAAATACTTCTGTATTGCTGTAGAACTAATACTTCATTACATACCTTAGTGTTAAAAGAACAATGTAATAAGGCCATTGTAGAATTAATTAAACCTTCTCTGCTTTGCAGAAGAAATAATTTGGTGGTTTGTATTTGTTTAGGTAGATTTGTGACAGAAATGAGCTTTGGCTTGCTGTGGTTAAAGTATTATTTTATATTCAAAGAAGTAGTAAATAGTAGTTAACTGTGAAAGAGAAAACCATTTGGATTAAAATGTTTCAGAGTGGAGAATCTTGGCTTTTGGCCTGAAGTAAAGATGATCAGAATTAAATTCTTGGATTGAATGTGGTTTGAGGATGGTTAAGATTCTGCAAGATGTGGCACATTGTGGTGCTTAATGACTGTGTAGCATCGTGTGGATACAATTTAGGTTTGAAAATCCAAGATCTATGTGTAGAAATATGAAAAAAACCACTGAAGAACAGTGAATTGAA